ATATATATATATATATATATATATATATATATATATATATATATATATATATATATATATATATATATATATATATATATATATATTCTTTTTAGTGTTTATAATAAAACGGCTAAGCGTTTTAGTTGTTGTGTTTTTTGTCCTTGTGAACGTTAAACTAGTGTATACTTCAAGTTTGATGTAATGTGTCTTGACGGATGTTTTGAGTCTGCCGCAAGATGGCGCCATACAATCTTTCTTTCCTTCCGTCGATTAGTTATCATTTGCACCTGTGGTTTGGAATCCTTTGAACGCTGTCGCTGTTCAAGATATTTGGCTATGGTAAATGTGCCTTGTCTTTGTTAAAGTCATTAATCTACAGTTTTTCCTTCATTATGATGTGTGTTTGTATGTGCACACGAGTTCCAAACCAACTGGATGTCACTGAGGTCAGTTGTTGTTCATTTGATAAAAGAAAAGGGCTAGCAGCCATCAGTTTTGAAATATTTAGTATAACTTACATTGTTTCAAACTTAAGCATATAAATATTTCATAACTAATGACAAATTTCGAGCATCTGTTTTATTTTATGAAGGACTGCTGATATTGTTTACAAAATTACCAAAAAAATCGTTTAGAGGATTTGGTGCATAAAAATTCATCAAAAATTGTTTTCAGACATGTTTATATTAATATTTAGACAACGCATTAACAATGCTTTGACTTTAGAAGAGTTCAGAAATCAATGATAAGAAAACATTGATTTTCTGACCAATTTAACAAAACAAAATACTGTAGTGATTTATTGTAAATGCTATAGTAAAATACTTTATTAATATATGTGGTGATTTTATAGTTGCTATGTATGTATGTATGCAACTATAGTAATGTATTTAGCCAATACTGTAAGTTTTCACTACAGTATTATACTACAATCTACCACAGTCTACTGTAGTTAGAAATAAATGATACTATACTGATTGCAAAAATTGTTTAATCGTTGTAAGTAGCATCTGCAAATTAGAAATCAAACAAACTTTGACCAAATGTTGTCAGTTTGCTGTAGTAAAACCTTAATTATACTATAGTATACATTACATTTGATTAGTTCACAAAGTTTAAAGCTATAGTATGATGTAGCATTCATTAACAAACTTTACTGCAATAATGTTATGTTATAATACACTTTACTATAGAATGGCTAAAAACTCTAGTAAATTACAGTAACATTTCACGTGGGATTGTTTTTTTCTGGTGGAGTATACATGTGTGTGATTGCTATATTATTTTATTCATTGTATTTCAAATAATTAGGATCTGCAAATTAGAAGATGAACAAACTTTGACCAAATGTTGTGTGTTCATGTAATATTAGATGTAATGGAAGCAAAAGAGGGCCAGAGCAATAGGCCTGGGGTTGACATAAAGGGTAGTGTTGTGCCAGTGTGGTTTTGCATGGATCAGTGGCTCTGCAATGCCCACAGCACACATTTAAACACACACATAAAGCCTGCAGAATAAATCACAAACACATTCTGCTCGTTTACACAGACCGTAGCAAGGACTTTTAAAGTCAAAGCTACAATTCTGAAAGACAGGAAAAGCAGATGGACAGATACTTTTAATTTCAATCTGCCTTTTATTTATTTATTTTTATTTTAAGGGGGTGTTCACTTTAGCATGTCTATATAAATGTAAGTATGATGATAACTATAGTCTCCACAAACAAATGAATGATAATATTCAGTTTATTAAAAATGGATCATATGTCATCTGTTACTTTTAAATAAAAAAAAATATTCAATATTAAATTGGGTTATTCATGAGCTTTATTCCTCAAGTGATTTAAACTTGCTATGTTTAGTACCATTTAAAAAATACTTTTTGTTGCAATGTTAATGATATTGATACAGATACTGGTTATTTCCTATTTCTTATGGGGATTTTTTTTTTCTTATGTGCAATTTCTTTTTATTCATGGGCAGGATAAATAAATAACATTTAATGTAAAGTAAAATATGTAAGTAAATATGTAGTAAAATAAAAATGTGTGTGTGTGTGTGTGTGTGTGTGTGTGTGTGTGTGTGTATATATATGTATATATATATGTATATATATATATATATATATATATATATATATGTATATGTATATATATATATATATATATATATATATA